TAAGGTTTTTAATGGCTGGTTTTTTGAAAGTGGGAGCATAGTGCCTAAGGCACTTGACTGCTAACCAAAAGGCTGGCGGTTCAAACCCACCAGCCACTCCTTGCAAGGAAGGGTGAGCAATCTAGTTCGTGATACCACCTCGGAAACCCAAGGAGGGGTCGCTATCAGTCGGATCCGACTCCACAGCAGTGAGTTTGGTTTTTGGTTTTTTGGGTGGACTCAAACCTCCAACCTTTCTGTTAGTAGCTGAGAGCTTAACAATTTGCACCATCCAGGGACTCCAGAGAGGCCTCTAAAAAATGAAAAACCAAACCCATTGCCTTCTACTTGATTTCGACTCATAACAGTTCAACAGAGTAAAACTTCCCCATAGGGTTCCCAGATATTCACATTTTTATAGAAGCACACTGCCACATCTTTCGCCCCAGAGCCACTGGTGGGTTCAAATAGCTGCCTTTTCTGTTAGCAGCCGAGTGCTTTACCACTGCACCACCAGGGTTCCTATGAAAAGGTCCCTGAGCTTTCCTAATGGTAAGGTCCTAGAGGGTTCTGCCACTTCAGGAGCATGGAGACCTGGGATCCTGCTCCTTCCTTTCTAGCTTCTTCAGCCCGACAAGTTGAGGATCCAGTAACAGCCAATACTAGTGAATCCCACAGGAGTTCCACATCCACTCGCTTTTTCTTGATTCACTTAGCATACAGAGTGGTGAGTTGACAGAATTGTTTCCCCTGAGTGTAGGAAGGCACATATCCAGCCTGGAGAAACATATTTATTGCAAGAGTTATATCAGTCTTCTAAGTAAGCACCAGCCTTCTCCAAGGAAAGGCATGGGTGGTAAAATGAATAAAATCAACTCAGTATTTTGACTGCTTGCTGTGGTGAAAGAGGAACTCCTTTTTCCCACGTGTGCAGAGAGGGAACATATCTTTAGATGCAGGGAAGCTAAGCCAGATCAGCTAAGCAAAATCACGGAAGCAAGCTCCACTCCTAGGGCCTATTTGATATCCCTTTTCTCTCTGGTAGAACTAACTGTTGTGGTGCATTGGGGTTTTCCACAGCTAGAAGCAGAGCCATGGTTCTGCTGCTATTGCTGCTGCTGCTGCACATTGTTTGTGATTAAGAGCTTTATTGATTTTCTAGCCCATGACCACATTGGTTGGGAAAGAGTATGACAGGAGGAAATGGTAGAAAGCCAAATGGAAAGAGCTTATGAAATGAGCTCTCAATGAAGAAAACTGTGGGAAAGAATGTGATGGAAGTAGATTTGGGGCCAGTAGATGTGGGAACAACTCAAAAATGCCTTCAAACCTGAGCTGAAACAAAGCACTTGGCCAAAACACAGGAAGAGGATCCAGTCTGTGAGAAAGAGTCACCACTGTTTATATAAAACAGTAAAATCCTGTCAGTAAAATCATCACTGACAATGCTTTGCTCTCATTCTGTACCAGGCACTGTGCTGGGTTCTGGGGCTATAAATAAAAATCAATCAGTCTAGAGAAGAAGACTGAAAATATATACAAGGTAACTTGTAAAAATGCAAATGTATCATATATATATATATATATATATATATATATATACACATACACATATATATATATACATATATATATAGTGTTGTTATGTGCTGTCCAGTCAGACCCAACTCATAGCGACCCCTCCTTAGGTTTCCGAGGCGGTATCGCTACGGAAGGAGATTGCCCCATCTTCCTTCCAATATATATATATATTCCTCCAGTTGGTTACCTTTTCTCTGTGGCATTCTTTCCTATGTATTCCTGCCCTCTAAGCTATCTCCCCATGCAAATACTTCCCTTCTGATCTCTCACGGTTGATTATTCTAAGAAGTATACCTACCTGGTCCAATTGTTCATCTTCTAAGCCTGACTACTGTTTGGCTGGAAGCCATAGGAGTGAGTTCAATTCCAGGCCCAAAGGGTGACTAGGGTCCATAGTCTTGGGGGTTTCACCAGCCTCTGTCAGACCAGTAAGCCTGAGCATTTTTAGGATTTTGGGTTTTCTCTCCCACATTTCTCTCCCACTCTATCCAGTTCTCCTATTTTGGTCCCTTTCTGAGTGGTAGCCGGGCACCATTTAGTTCTAGTCTGAAGGTCATATAGGCTGAGGTTTGCAATTAGTCCAATTAGCTTGGACTAATTGCTTCCGTGCATCTTTGATTTTCTTCATTCTTCACTCTGACAAAGAGAGACCAATTGTTGCACCTTAGATAGCTGCTCGCAAGCTTTTAAGACCCAGTCACTACTCACCAAAGTAGATGTAGAACAATGTTTTTGTATAGTATGTTATGCCAATTGAGCTTGACATACCCCGTGACCATGGTGCCGAGCCCACAGGCCCAGTGACTCATTCCCTCAGTGTTTGGCTGAGGCTAAGAAGTTATAACTTTGCCCTATTAGCTCTATTATATATATAGACCTTCTTAAAGCATATACAAATATGTGTGTAGAAGTATTGTCTGACAAACTTATATATGGTCATGGTATATTCCCTTTTATCCACCCATACCTGATCAAAAAATGGAAGTGTTTCTTACGGAAGCCATAAAAATACGTTGCCTGGACTCTGGGCCCAGAGCAAGCAGGCATGAGTGGTGGGAAAGGGGAGATGGGACTCTGTGGAGATCTGGTGAAGCACTCATTCCTGTGACTACCCACTCTGCCAGCAATACCCTAGTCACCACACCCACCCACTTACAGGTCCAGACGAGGTCTGTTTCAGCAATGGGCACATTTCCCTGAGGTAACAGGTGCAAAGGGAGCACTTCACAGTTTAGGTGGGAAGTGCAGGCTAAGAAAACCTCATGCCACCAAGGGAGAGTTTTGAACATAATTCTCTAAACCTAAAGATATAAGCAGTACACTTGTGGCATGATTCTGCCTCACACATACATGTACACACACACACACAAACAACCACCATGAACCTGCTTCTCTGTGGTTCCAAATGTGTGCTTTGAGGAAAGATTGCTTCCATCCTACCTTCCTTCTTTCCGTTGGCCCCCCCTTTGAATAAAGGAGTTAAGTATTCGGACTGCCTCTTTTAGATTTCAGCATCGTTGTTGCCATTGAAAATAAACTGAAAACTGGGGAAGATGATGGGTGTCTGGTGTGTTTTTGTACATCAGTGTAATATATAAGAGAAGATGACATGTAAAATGGGAAAATAAGAAAAAATATTATATAACTAAAAAATGGGTAAGTTCAGTAAAAAACTTTTTTTAAAGTCATAACTGAAATCTTGTTTCTGTGGTTCATGTTTGAAAATGATGTAACCAGAAGTGGTTCCTTTATCTCCCACTGCAGGAATACCTTCTCTCCATAGCCTTGGGGCCCAGATACTTGTACTGGAGGACTTTAAGGAGGTCTAAGCCAGAGATTTCAAAGAGGTCTAGCGTAAGCTGGAGGGTCTCACAACAGGCTAGCCTAAACCTGAAGACTTCAGAGTGATCTAGTCAAGCCTTGGCCAGAAGACTTCAGAGAATTTTAGTCTAAGCTAGAGGGGTGGTCTAGCCTAAGCTGGAGAACCTCAGTGTGGTATAGTTTAAGTCAGAGGGATCTTATAGCTGTGTAACCTAAGCTTTTTGTTTCCTGGAGGAAGATTTCAGGCCGGCGGAGGTAGTCTCCTGGCCCCGCTCTGAGTCCTAACTCCTGGCTCAGGCCCTCCTCTGTCTTTCTAAAACAGTCAAAAGGGCTGAAATTCCTGACAGTGTATGGGAAGGAATGTCCCTAGCATTGTTCTCTTCACAGAGGAAAAACTGAACTTAAAAAACAAGCCTACAACTTGGCATTTAAGCACAGAGCTAAAAGCAAGGCGTGGTCTCCTGAGTGCTAGAAGTACTTTGAAATCCCCAAAGTCTCATTCATTGTTCAGAAAACAAAACGGAACAACTTTTTTTGCTCCCTTCCCACTTCCACCTCATCCCCTTCCACTGTGCAATAGCTGTGCCTGGCAGATGCCCAGAACAGCACCCTGCAATTCCACAGTACATTGTGCACATTTGCATCCATTTAACCAGCTATTTAAGGCCGCCCTTTACCGCCACCTGTAAGAGGCAGCGCCATAATGACACTAAGACGCTGGGCCGCGAGCCGGTTCTCCGGGGTTTCTCCATTTGAAGACACTGAAATCTGTGAAGTGGCTGCCACTTGGGAAAACAAAGCGACAACGGGGGACATGACACACACTGGGCAGGAGGCGAAGAAGGGTGGCGCACGCCACACGGAGCGAGGGTCGTTCCTCCGTAGTTCCTTTACCCATTACCACAATCGCAAGAACTTGCAGGGCCTTATAAGGAACCCGTTGCCCTGTGGGTTTGAGGACTTTCTGCTCCTCACAAGGACCACTCCGCGGTCCCGAGAAGGAATGTGAACAGGACGCGCTGGGGTGAGACCCACAGTCCAGCGGAATCCGATCCCAATGACTCCCCCTCGACTCCAGGATACCGGCTAGCGGGCGTGATGGGGGTTCGCGGGGACATCCGCGCTCGCGTGCGTGGCGCACCCGTGCAGCTCCGGGTGGCAAACCGGCTGAAGTGGAGGCGAGGGCGAGAGGAAGTCGAGGCGCCAGAGCGTCAGAAACGCTTCTCTAGCTTCCTCCGCGCTGCGGAGGTTGGGCCGAGGGGGGCCAGCAGGCACTGCGCGGTGGACTTCCATCATGCCCCAGGAACAGCTGGAGGTCAGGGGCTCGAAGCCCCCAAGAGCGGGTACTCGGTGGCCTGAAGTGGCTGCATTCAAGAAGCCCGCGACGTCCAGGACCGCATGGCGCGCTCAGAGCTCGCCAAGTCGCACATAAGCAAAAGACAATCGGTGGGTCCTGAGGCTTGTAGGCTGGGACGCAGAGTAAGCGCGGACCCAGAGCTTACTTCTGGGAAGGGACAGGGAACTGTCAATCAGCGAGGGAGGGAGCGCACCGGCGCTGGGTGATGTCAGCGGATCAGCTGCTCGATAACAAAGAGGGGGTATTACAGGAGAAAGTTGCAGCAGCGGCGGCGACCGCAACAGCACCCGGGAGCCTCGGAGACGAGGGGCAAGTGGCGGAAGGAAGGAAGGACGGCTGCTGCCGCAGCAGTTGAAGGCCAAGGAATTAAAAGGGCTGCAGGGGGAGGCAGTGCGAGCCAGCCCCGACTGCTCCTCCTCTTCCTCCTCCTCCTCCAAACTCGCAGGGCTGAGCCCCAGCGCTTGCTTAGCCGCCGGGAGCACCGGGAGGGACGGGAGGCAGCCGCGCGGCCCAGAGCTGGGCAGGGTCTCCAGTCGCCATGGATAGCGACGACGAGATGGTGGAGGAGGCGGTGGAAGGTACAAGCATTTCTCCGGGGCCGGGGAAGGAGACGCGGAGGGCTCGAAGCGCGGGAGGAGTGGCGGGCTGCGGCCGGGAGACACCGAGCCCCGCGGCCGCCACTGTCCCCTATCCGGGTGGCCGGCTGCCCGGCTCTGGCGGGGGACGGGTAGCCACGGCCACGCCGCCAGGGGCGCTCACTGAGCGGTGGGACGCAGTCTGGGAGCCCGGCTCGGCTGGGCCGGGGCGCCTGGGAGGATAAGGCTGATCATTCCCGCCCGGCCGCAGCCTGCATCCGCCCTCGGAGTTGCAAAAGCTGCCCGGCACTTCGGCCTCCCTCCTTTCCGGGATAGAGGAGCGGTGCTCCAGAAGACAGACCCAGGGAGCAGTCCCCAGGAGTAACCCCCTAGCCCGTTTTGGCAACCCTCAGCCTCTGTCCGCCGCCAGCCCGTTCCTTCCGCTCGCCGCTGCGCCCCGCGCCGACCAAGGCCGTGTCTGGGTCGGTCCCCTGGCGCATCGCACTGGCACGTGGCAGCTGTGGCCCGAGAGGCCGCCCCTCCGAGATGAAATCATTGCAGAGCAGTGGACTACCGTCCCGACTCGGGGTTCGAACACACACACTCCGGGAGACCAGTGGCCCTAGCCTGTGCTGTCCCCGAGCGAACTCAGTCACACCGACCCCTCCCCCTTCCTGCTTCCGAGCACCGGTGCGGCCGCCGCCACGCTGTGCAGGCACGCCGCAAGCCCGGACTGAAATTGCTGGGTGACACTTAACTTTCTGAATTCCTTGCAGTTGGCTGTGGGTGATATCACCGCTTTGGCGTCGTGTTTCTCCACCCCTTCTCTTCTAGCGCCCCTCCCCCTACTTTTCTCGCCACTTTGTTTTGCTGAGTTTCTCCACCTCTTGCTAGTTCTAAAAAAACGAGGTGGGGACGTTATACAATCTCGATGTTTGTATCCTGAGATGTTATGATTTTGTAACAGTGAATATTGGAAAATATCCTTAGCGTTTTACTTTATTTGGTTCTGTCCCCAGACTGTACGTCGTGATGTTTTGCAATGTTGTGTAGTATTATTCCAGAATATTTTAAACCTCCCATTTAAGTAAATAATTTTTAGCTGCTGATTAGATCTGGTTTCTATCTAATCTGTATAAACAAGTTCTCACAAACAGTACAAATGCATTAGGGTACATGGTAATTTCTTCACTGAGACAAGAAAGCCATTTTTATACTTTTATAAAAACAGAATTGATTCCATTTGAAGTACACTAGAGGTTTTAAGATGATATTAAGTAGAATAATATTTCTGAATTCTCCAGAAGAAAATGTAACAAGCCAACTTAAATATATATATATATATATATATTTAAGAAAATTTAAGTTAAGAAAATTTGCAGCATGTTCTAACTCACAGAGCTGTTTATTAGGTAAAGCGAATGGGGGGAAGAGCTTATTGGGTCCAGAGACATTCAGCAGATTCATAAGAAGCTACCTTAGAATTTAAAAGTTACTGACTTCTTATGCTTCCTTCTTATAAAAGATGGATGAAAATGCTCTTCTTGATTTGTTAGGGTTTGCTCTCATTATTTAAAGCTTGATTTCACTTGTGAAAATTTAAAGTAAACTCTTGGTCAGGGGCAATGATCCCCAGCACCTTTCCCTTTGCAGACCAGGGTCCCATTGCCCTTATGTTCATTCACAGAATGTAAACAGGCTGCTTTAGAAATGCATCACTGTTGCTTTTGAGATTGTCCAGTGGATTAGAAATAGGAAGGTTCTTACTAGTTTTATAGGGAGAGGATATGTATGATTGTCCAAATCAGAACACTGTTGAGGTGAGAGGGGGAATTGTTAATACTTTTGCTCGGACAGCTGGCTTATTAAGCCTTGAATGTATGGGCCAATTCAGGACACATGGTGACTCAGTTGTACCTAACTGTAAACAGACTAACACAGAATCTTTGAAAGTCCTTAGAAGAATCTCAGGCTCAAACTCCAGCAGGGCTTGGTGTGCACATGGCAGTAAGCTACACCCATGGGCTTTTCTCCAGTGGTTTTAGTGCTTGCTGTCTGTAATGCTTTTGACTTCTCAACATCCAACACACACATGAGGAAATGGAGTAAACTTTCCCAAAGAGAAGCCAGTCTGAATATTTTAGTTTTTAAGTACCATCTAAACTACCTCTGTCTCCATAAACAGAATCTCTGTTCTCAATAGTTTTTATTCTCATAGCCATTTATTTTCTATATTTGTTTTTATTATGTGCAGGCTCTGTGCTAAGTGTCTCCTACATATTTTCCGTTCAGTCTTATGAGCTGTGTTCTGATAAGATCCTAATTTTACAAGAGAAAGGAACTGAGGCAAGGAAAGTTAAGATATTAATCCAAGGTCACTTAGGTAGGTGACAGGTTTAGAGCCTCCAGAACCCCACTCTATCATATCATATGTCACCCCACATTTTTTGTTTTCATGGGCCAGTTGAATATATAAAATAGTTACTGAATTTGGAAGCAAAAATTAAATATTATGTCAATATCACTCTTTACCAGTGTAACTTTGAACATTGGGTAGTTTTCAGGGAGAAAGGTATGTATGGACCTTCACTTTACTATAGAAAATTCTCTCTGGTTGTTTGTTTACAACCTGTTAATTGCCCATTTTCAACTGTTTTCTCAGCACTTTTCTTTTGGATTGTTAGGAATCATTCCTTAAATTAGTTAAAAGAGACTCAGAGTGACTTTCAGAAGAATATATTTGGGGGAAGAGAATTTAACTTAACAGAAGTTAAATTTAACTGCAACAGATAACAGACATCCTTTTCCTTCATTAGAAATTTACTCTGGGAAGAAATTGATTTAAATGTATTTGGTCACATCATAGACATTTTGGTTTTCTGTAAGGGTAGAAATGTAGATCAGGTGAAGTTCTAAACTCAAGAGTAGATGAATCCCCACGGGGAGAGGGGGTCTAGGAGTGTGGGCCAGGAGGCAACATTCTGTGTACCTGTGTATGCTGTGTTCCTTTGGGAAGGCAGCAGGCCTTGGGCCTCAGAGGCTCTCAGAACACCTCGTGACTCCTGCTGTGGCTTTTTGAAAACTCCAGTGCTCATTGGTTAAGTGGAGAGTGATGCTTTGTTTTCCAGTGTTACTCTTCAAAGCCTTTGGGAACAGAAATATTTATTATTGTATCTATTTCTCTTTCTATCCATAGATACAAAGGTAACTATAATATGGTCCCTAATAAACTTTCAAATAAATATGTCATATCTATACAGATGTATTGTGGTGGATGGGAGGAAAACAAAGAATTACTTCCAGCTTGGGGAAATAAATGGAGAGAGATTTCTCAGAAGTAGCACAGAGCTGAGAGGGGGAACCTCGTGAGTAAAGACATAAAAACCAAAACCAAATTCATTGGCATTGAGTCAGCTGTGACTCATTGACTCCCATTGGGTTTCCAAGGTTGAAATCTTTATGGAAGTAGATTGCCTCATCTTTTTCCCAGGGAGCAGCTGGTGGGTTCGGAGCAGCTTGTGGGTTTGAATCACTGACCTTTTGGTTAGAAGTCCAGCGCTTTAACCACAGCTGGTGGGTTTGAACCGCCAACTTTTTGGTTAGCAGCTAAATGCCTTAACCATTATACCACCAGAGCTCCTGGTAAAGATTTGGAAAAAAAAAACAAAAAAACCTCACTACCGACTCGACGGCACATAACAACAACAACAACAACCATTGAGGTGATTCAACTCATAGCGACCCCTCCGAGGGGGTATCTCTACGGAAATAGATTACCCAGTCTTCTTTCTGAGGAGTGGCTGGTAGGTTTGAACCTCTAGCCTTCTGGTTAGCAGTCAAATGCCTTAGGCACTATGCCACCAGAGCTCCTGAGTAAAGACATGTTGTTGTTGTTGTTATGTGCTGTGGAGTCAGACCCAACTCATAGAGACCCCCTCCTTGGGTTTCCGAGGCAGTATCGCTACGGAAGTAGATTGCCCCATCTTCCTTCTGAGGAGTGGCTGGTGGATTTGAACCACCAGCCTTCTGGTTAGCAGTCAAGTGCCTTAGGCACTATGCTACCAGAGCTCCCAGAGTAAAGACATAGAGATAAAGAATTATACAGGCATACCCACTGCCACCGAGTGGATTCAGACTCAGTGACCCTGTAACACAGAGTAGAACTGCCACAGAGAAGGTTTCCTAGTCTGTAAATCTTTATGAAGCAGACTGCCTTATCTTTCTCCCACGGAAGAGCTGGTGGGTTGGAATCACCGACCTTTTGGTTAGAAGCCCAATGCTTTAACCACAGTGCCACCAGAGCTCCTGTATGTGAGCATATTCAGAGAAGAATTACTCAGGTCTGCTGTAGCATCGGGCTCGGAAGAGGAAAATTAGAGGGTAAGACAGGGAAAGGAGGCTAGGCCCAACTCACAGGCTAAGAACATGGACTCTGCGGGGAGCCATGGGAAGCTGTGGGGGCCCTGGAACTAGGAATGACAGGATCAGAGCTCTGCATTGAGACGATTAACAGACAGTAGTGAGCAGGGCAGTTGGAGGGGCTGAAACCACAGCTAAAGTAGGCACCTAAAACTCGCTCTGCGGTCATCCTGATGGGTGGTTCAAACCCAAAAAACCAAACCTGTTGCTGTGGAATCGATTCTGACTCATAGTGACCCAGTAGGACAGAGTAGAACTACCCACAAGACGTTTACGAGACGTTTCCAAAGCTGTAAATCTTTACAGAAGCAGACTGCCACATCTTTCTCCTGTGGAGGAGTTGGTGGGTTTGACCCCTGACCTTTCTGTTAGCAGCTGAGCACTTTACTATTGTACCACCAGTGTTCCTTGATAGGCAGTTATGAGGGCTCTCAAATCAGCAACCATGACAGGAAAAAGGAAAGGCCTGTGGACACTGAGGAAGAATGCTCAAAAAGGAGAAATACCAGAATCCCTACAACTAAGGTGCCAGGAATGAAAATAACCATCTCAGTATTTCACTACCTGACTTCCTCAACATAGTA